GATATACGTATTGTGTATTTGTAAATACGTACAAGAACAGCTGGGTAGTGCTTATAACAATGCAGTCTTTATATAACAGATTTTGATAAGAAATTAAAGTTCATTTGCAAACCAAGAATATTTCCATTTTTAGTTAAGTACTTAACTAAAAATGGATAAGTTAGCTCAAGAAAATATGTTTATTATATCTTCATCATGTTACTTAACTAAAAATGGATAAGTTAGCTCAAGAAAATATGTTTATTATATCTTCATCATGTTACTTAACTAAAAATGGATAAGTTAGCTCAAGAAAATATGTTTATTATATCTTCATCATGTTACTTAACTAAAAATGGATAAGTTAGCTCAAGAAAATATGTTTATTATATCTTCATCATGTTAACATGATGAAGATATAATACAAATATTTCCTTCAGTTGTGTTCAATATTTACTTGCAAAAGTTAAATTGAACATACACTCACCTAGACAACAGATACCATATCCATTAGCACAGCCTCCAATATTCGCGCCTCGCTTATTATCACAGTCTCCAGAAAAGAGGCACACTCCCTCCAAATTGTTGGTTCCTATACACCCTGTGTTCTGATAGCGAAGTATGTTAATATATTCCGCTGAAAGCCATAAACACAAATACAAATTATTCACGCATATAACTTTAATTTGTAATGTTTCTTAGATACCTTATTCAGCTGTGAACTGAATGGTCAACTTGCAGATTTGAATTCCATTTCAAGAGTCAATGACTGAAGCAAAAACACCCATAAAGAACCATTAACTAAAGAAATAGAAAACAGATTCGGACAAGGACGTCCTCCATGTGATAAAATGGTTTACTTCTGGAGGTCATTACGCCATTTTTGAATGACGCGTTTCAAACATATTTTTATGCTTATAAACTATGAACAAGTCGTTCGTAGGGCAGGTTAACATGTTATTAGCTATTTTAGTTAAAGAAAACGTTTCAGAACTTTATTTCAGGTCGATAAGATGGCTAAAGAAAGGTTGGACATTTAGAAACCAGTAAGAACAATTCCAGGAATAATTACAACTGAAAATAGTTTGCTAATTTCTCTACTTTTGAGTAGTCATTTCAGTGATGAATTAGAGCCTATCCTGAAAAGGCATAGTGTTTACCGATGTAATACGGATCTAGTTAATTAGTTTGTACAATTTGGGGCAAATCTAGCTGTTCCTAAATTAGAAGAGATAGACTAGATGGGATGCAGTTAGTCAACATCATCCACTGCCAACTCTTAGATTACTCTTTACCAACGAAAGTACGTCAGTTTATTATTATTTCAACAGAAACATAACATAAAACTTTATTTAAATGTATAGAATATTCAAGATTAAGACACATTAGACTCTAATTTAAAACAGCAAAATTTTCCAAACTGTGTCTTCTTCAGAGATTCATGCCCAATTCTAGGTACTTCTGAAAAGCAGTTATTTCATCATCAATGTTTTGAAGAAACAAGAAAAAGTCTTAGCTCATCACATCCCACAAGTTTAAAACAATACTTACTGATATTAACATTTAATAAACAATTAAAAGCAGACATAACATAAATTATATTAATAACAATTACTTCAGTTTTATTTAACAAGTACATGTTACTTCAGTTTGAAGTTTATCTATTTTACAAAATTAAAGCATTTCAATAATAACTCTGAAAGAGAGTTAGTTTTCTAGGTTAAAAAGTTTATTATGAACTTTGAAATAGAACTCATATAAAAATTAAACATAATAGTAAACTGACAAACAACAATTTATATGCATAAATCATTGTTTGTCAATTTACTATTTGGTTCATACATATTTACTGATTTTCATTTATTATATAGGACTAAAATACCTAATACTTTTCGGTTGGAGTACGCCTAGGCTTAGGGTTAGAAAAGTATCTGTAATATAGTGTTCCAGTTTGAACATATAAGAACATTACATTGTAGTTTGAATATCTTCAGATAAATCCAAGTTACCTATACTGGAGGGACGATCCTGTGCTTGAGTTTGGATCAGTGCCACAGTGAGAAAGAAAACACTTAAGTAATTCTTCATCATCTATTTTGGAAAAGTTTATGAAATTAAACCAGTTGTCGTTGTTGATCTAAAGGAAGAATAAGAATCGTTTTCGAAGTAAAGTTTCTCAAAATGATTAGTTTTTAAAAAACATGACATGATTTTTCCATTTACAAAGCAAGTATTTAGTTAACAAAACTACATGATCGAATATTTTTGCAGCCAAATATATTCCTTAGCGGTAAGTTCGTTGACATTTGAACTCCGTAGCACAGACAGACAGCTAAAACAATATGAAATAGTGTACTCATTTTTGTTGTTTAATAATGAAGTTAAATGTCATGAATTTGAAGAAAACTTTTTAGATAATCAGAAGGTGCTACTAATAGTAAAAATTACATATGTAAGTTTGCTCTAATCTAACTTACCAGTTGTTTGAAAGTAATGTACAGAATCGGGCGTCGGAGGGACTTAAATCTCAGTACTACTTGTGTAAAGGAAGGTACTGTGTATTCCGGAAATTACTGTCCGTAAAGCACTTTTATAGAATCTCTAAGACCTTTAGCTCCCCCCCCCCCTCCCCCTGTCTCAACGAACTCGAAATTAGTGAACACCGCCTTTCAGGTTGCTGCTGCAGGCGCGGTCAATGTTCGGTGTTTACAAAAAAATGTCTAGCCTCCCGGTCACGTATTGACCTAACCATCTTGTTTTTCGTCAGTGATTTCCTCTACTCTCTCTACATTACTACGTTAAGAAATGGCCAATAACAGTGTCATATAACCGAATGTCCAAAATATTGAAAAATCAAATGCAAATATATCTTCAGATAAAAATCGAAAAAGTCTTAGTTACGTAGGTAGATTCCAGACAATTTTCAGTGAAAATCTGTAACTAAACACACGATGAGATTTCTTCTAACATATAAAAATGAGTAATTTCAAATACTTTCTAAACTGAAACAATGATTATCACAAGTTTTGCAGGTTATTTTATCTTATTCATCCAACTGTTCACGAATGCCGATTTCATGACTGACGAATGTAGTCTTTTTTCAATAATATTTGTTTGTTAACTAACATTAGTATGCAATATCTGTAGCAAATTTTAATTATTCGAATAGAAACAATAAAGTCATTATTGAGTTTTTGAAGCAATGAATAAATATTTTGTATATGTTTAGTTATTTAAAGTAAGTAAAAGTATAAACTGTACACTTGTAATTTTACACTTTAAAAAGGCGTAACTGTTTAATCAATTTTCCCTCTGTGGAAATATCAATATATTTATTGCTCAATATGAGAGGATAAACTGGACACACAAAGGTTTTTCATAAACCACATCAGACCCATGAAAAATTAGTAACCATGTAAATGTAATCATATATATATAAATCACTTCACAACCAGCAGTTTGGGTAGTGTACATAAACAGTTATTTCAGACTCTTACACAACTTAAGTTCAAATTAAAACTTGATGTCAATACACAGTAAATAATGTTTGAAAAGAAACAAAACCAAAATTTAGAGAATCTCTATATCCTAAATATCTACAAGGAAATAAAAATTATTCTCGTATTGAAGGTTCAAACCACCAAATACGCGTGGAATTTTAAAAGGAAAGAAAACAGCTTTTGTTATATGACATCAAATGAAATTTAACGTAAGCCTTAGTAGCGGGATTTTCGTATTCGCTTTGTATATAAATATTATGAAGTTTAACTAAACTATGAACGACTTTGAAAATAAAGTACTGTAGCGAATCATCTTGATATCTCTGTTTTAGTAAAAAGAAACTTCAGGTGAGACAATACTATCATGGATTTAGTACTAACACGAGCTTTATGTTTAATGTATGAATTGACATGAAGTTTTACGAAGGTTAACACATAATTCTAATAAATAAAGTAATATGGTGTTCCGTGCAAGAAACGTAATATTGGATATAGAAAACATTGATTTTATAAATGTTGCATAGGCGTTTTCTTAACGTTTGTATGTACCGCCATCTGGCAACATAATATATATTCATCTTCGTTATGTCGTACATCAGGAACGCTAATGTGATTTTTAAAAATTCCCGAAAAAGTCTAGCAATTTTAAGGTACAATATGCCATATAATCAAGTTTTTATTAAGCTTATAGAGTAATATCATGGTGCTACCCAATAGTTGCACTAAAAATGAAAATAGAATATTGTTTTCTCATTAACGTGTCTCACAATTAAATATTTTGTAAATTGACACTCACTAAAGCAGTGAGACTTCTTGCTTGTTTGTTTGTTTTGAATTTCGCGCAAAGCTACACGAGGGCTATCTGCGCTACCCGTCCCTAATTTATCAGTGTAAAACTAGAGGGAAGGCAGCTACTCATCACCCCTCACTGCTACCTCTTGGGCTACTCTTTTACCAACGAATAGTGGGATTGACCGTCACCTTATAACGCCCCCACGGCTGAAAGAGCGAGCATGTTTGGTGTGACGGGGATTCAAACCCGCGACCCTCAGATTGCGAGTCGAGCACCCTAACCACCTGGCCATGCCAGGCCAAACTTTTTGCTTCTGATCCCTTAAAAAAGGGAGACGATTGTACTTATACTTTTGAAACTAGGTCATGCTAAATGTTTTTGTTAATGTAAATTCACACACATCACTGTTTGTATTGCTTAAGCAATAAAACTACCAAAACCACTACTCAAACATACAAGTTGTTTAGAATATTAACTGTTAATCAAATATATCTTTTGGTTCACCACTTGTTATCGAATTATATCACTTTCAGGTAGTTTCGCCTGTCATAAGTAAATATGGATATAAAAAATTCAAAACATCATCATTTTGTGTCATTTCATTCCAGCCCGAGGAGGGACTGGCAGACCATTAGAAGGTTATGCCCTCTCATCGGCCAACCTAAGAATACGAGAAAAAGTAGGAAGAATAAAAGATGCAAGAGATGGGTAAAAGAGTGAGGAAGAGTATAGAGAACAAGAATGAGAAAAAAACTTAAAAAAGAAAAAAGAGAAGGACGAATTGGATGTACAGTGAAAACGAAATAAATTAAATGGGATAACATATAGACAGGCAATGAAAACAAACGTAAATGGTGAGATGAGCACTAGAGAGTGGAAATATAGTGACGAATCATGCTGGAAAGTTCAAACTCTGAAGTCCATAGGCTCCAGATCACTGGGTAGATAGCAGGTGGTCGATGAGACATTTTTCCATTTAAAGTATTGATATTATAATTGTGGATTTTTGCCTAACATACTCTTCAAGGTTTGTTGACAGTCAGTAAGGCTAAACACATATATATCTCCTCCTATAAATTATGCCAACTTATGTTTTATTAGCTGAATATTTTCCAGACAAATAAGTAGTTATAAAAACATTTAACCTACTTTAAAAAGTCATTATGCTCCGAAATTTTGTTTTCCTAGTATAAGGTCATATAATTAACTTCTTTGTACTATATCTTTTGAAAGTAGTAATTAAAAACATTTTTTCTCAGAGAGGATATATTAGCTTAATTAACTATATAACAGTCATATTATTCTGTTTTTATCACATGTATTTTTGTGGGGAAATAATATAAAGGTAAACTACTACTTAGCAGTGAGTTCAGTTTAAACATATATTATTTCCATATTTCATAATAGTTTTATTTTTGGTCACTAGATGGAAGCACAAAATGTTCGTATATAACGACATTGTGGGACATTTCGTTGCACAAACCTAATATCTGACAAAACACTTTTGCTAAAAATAAATAAATAAATATATAAATTAAAATTCAAGCAGTTGAAGTCTTTACACAACTGATATGTCTGTGTACATCTTATTGATGTCTGACTTTAATAACACCAGTTTCTTAATTGTCAAAACAATACATTATATAGTGGTCTTCTTTCCTTCAAATCTTCAATCGGGATGAGCCTGTAGCTGTATGTGTATACGTGGTATCATACTTCAAAACCTAGGATCCGTATGATGTCCTCCCTATTAATCCTCTAACCCTGGCATGGGGTTATTGATTGTATGCACATACAGTAATCTGGGGTGAAGTTGGAGGCGTGGGTTCTAGAAATGTCCCCTTAACGTTGGTCCAGTGCTCCGGGGTAGTTGTACCGTCCAGGAGGAACCATTCCATCTTCACTGGCCTCCAATTTAATCTAAAAATAAAATCAAAATATTCGTTTCAGATCTTTAGAAGTACTTGTTGCAGGTATAAAAACATTAAGATATATTTGGTTAAAATTCGTATTTTAGAGATTTCATTATTTGTCAACAGATGGCGTACCATTCATTTCCTTGCTAAAACGTTTTCTATTTTCTGCTAATTATAAAATAGTAAAAGGATTTATTTTCCAAAACCATTATTATTATGAGCATTTCTTCTGTGAGCTGCTAAGTTGTGACACAAATAACAAATAAAATCCCTGTGAAAGTTTAGTCCAAACTAATCTGATGTCAATCTGTCATTTTCTGATGTAAGAAAAACCTGTAGGTTCAAGAAGTCTTGATACAAAGTCATAAAAACCTTACAACCCGAACATTTTTGAAAGGTGGACATTTTATATTATTTGGTTATTAATTTCAGTGCAATAATAAATCAAATTTAGTTGATTAACATATATTAGAACATGTAGCTAAATATTTTCAGGATCATATAAATCTCTCTCTCAATAAGAGGAGCTGGTTAATAATAAACCGAGAACTCGATTTGAGTATAACAAAGGGAGAATGGTTTTTCCCTGGGCGGTAAAACTACATACAAAGGCTAACGTGACATTCAGAGCGTTATTATTTTAGTAGCTACCCCTTTCTTGCCGAATTTAACAGCATTTTGTAGTGGTTTTCTAATCATTAGACTGTATGTATTTTCAAATTTGGCGATAAATTAGATACAGAAAAGCGTAGCCCATGGTTAACGTGCCAGACTATGGATCTGAGAACCCGTGATTTCACCTTATTACTGCCAAAAATAAAAATAGAGCTCCGCACTCCACGTTTGTGGAAACACCTGAAGAGTGACAGTTAAATTAGAGAAGTGAAAGAGATGGCACTGGGTAGTGTTAATTAGTTACCATCCTTTTTGTCTATCACTGTAAAATTATGGACTATAAAAAGAAATCTAAAACTATAACTTATATTTTATAAAAACCTTTTTGATCATCGTGTCACTAAGTAGGTGAAATACAGCAAATAAGTTAAAAATCAAAGGAAAAATTTTCACTGCCGAATTTCCGTATTATTATTAAGAAATGGTACGATATGAAGAATTTTGAAGACATATAAAATTTTAGAATATGTTAATATTAGCTAAATTAAGAATATATACATATGAGTAAATAGAACACATAAAAGTGTCGAAACCAGTTTTCTGGTCTTGTTCCTAACAGAGCATATATCTATACATTAGTTGTTTACTGTATGCTATCATCATTACCTTCTTGATCATGGGTATATGATATTACACAGTGATACGAGTAATGTTTCTGTCACTGTTGTACATAATGAGTACATTAGGCTCAGATCTTCAGTTTTAACAATGAGTCATATACATTTAATATGTTGAAATATTTCAAAGGAATGAGTGTGATTTTCTTTATTCTCATATGACTGAATCTAAGCAAGTTAAAATCACAGTGTCCCAATTTATCAGTAAGACGAGAGTATCCTAATATTGTTTTCATTTTACCATTTCTCTGCGTTAAAAACATTCAAAGGTTTTTATCGATACTCACTTAACTTAACTCTAGAAAAGACGATAATTACAACTTCTGAAATGAATATTGACTTATGACGTCTACTGTATAAATAGCATTAGGAATATTTAACCTGAAATAGATTTAATAAGACAAATGGAGGCTAAGGACCGTAAGAAGAGCAGACAGTAAGCAACCCAAGTCTCATACTCTTTGGTAAATAAGGATATTGAATAAACTTCATAGTTATAACAGCTGAATGTACGTAACGATAACGACTGAGACACATCATACCTCAAAATGTATTTGACATTTTTCTAGTTGAAGTAAATTCATAAATCAAGTACTGTACTTTTCCTCTAGTTCACTAAATGTCCTGTTACCAAGTCTAGCAGTGTATTGTTCGTGTAATTCACTAAATGTCCTGTTACCAAGTCTAGCAGCGTATTGTTCGTGTAATTCACTAAATATCCTGTTACCAAGTCTAGCAGTGTATTGTTCGTGTAGTTCACTAAATGTCCTGTTACCAAGTCTAGCAGTGTATTGTTCGTGTAGTTCACTAAATGTCCTGTTACCAAGTCTAGCAGTGTATTGTTCGTGTAGTTCACTAAATGTCCTGGGTAACAGGACATTTAGTGAACTACACGAACAATACACTGCTAGACTTGGTAACAGTACATTTAGTGAACTAGAGGAAAAGTACACTGCTAGACTTGGTAAGAAGTCTAGCAGCGTATTGTTCATGTAGTTCACTAAATGTCCAGTTGAAAACTCTGGCACTGTAGTGTTCTTCAAGTTTGTAAAGTGTGTTTAGTTTAGAAGATTAGCACCGTATGTTTTCGTCTATTTCAATAAATGTCCATACTAAATTTCTAATATTATACTGTTTTTCTAGTTTACTAAATGGCCCATTAACAATCTAACATTGTATTCTTATTCTACTTTACCGAACGTGCAGTTGAAAAGACTAGTAACCTACGGTTCTTGTGGTTCACTAAGTGTGTACAGTTACGATTCTAAATGTATAGTTACCAAGTACAGTAGTGAGTGGTTCTTCTAGTTCTCGAAGTATCCAACAGTTTTCTTTACTAGTATAGTGTTGCTTCGTTTAGTTAGTGTCTAGCTAACTAAGTGTTTCTAGTTACCAAGTCTAGCACAGTAAATTTATTTTAATTCATTAATGTACAGTTGACATGTCCAGTACTATTACCGTTAATATAGTTTACTAAGTGTCCAATTTCAAGTCTATAACTGTACTGTCCGTTTGGTTCAATTATGTACAGTTGCTAAGTCTGTTACTGCAGTCTTCTTATGTTTCTTTCTTTACAAAAAGTCATAAACTGTTTGTTCTTCCAGTATTTATCACATAGGTTTTTCTGCTAAGTTCATTACTTTTACTAGTATTGTTCTTTTTACCTTGGGGTCCTTTAACGTAGTGTTCAATTCCTCGACGATTGACGGTGGGTGGTGTTGAGTAGCTCCCTCTGGTATATCACTTCAAAATTATATACGGCTAGCGCTCCTCGAATAGCTTTGTGCGAGATCCAAGAAACAAACCAATTGCAAAATTTGATAAATAGTTTGGAGTTTTACACTTATTACAATTTGAAGTCATTCTAGAAAAAAGGGTGATGTAACTTATTTAGATTTGTGTGTGTATGTGTGTGTGATTGCTAGGTCGCTCAAATTGACCAACCTTGTATAGTGTTATTGGTAGAGAAAATAACAGATAAAATATGAAGTTTTACTGAATAAAAACGTTTGAAATGTATTTAGGAGGTTTTAAAGATTATGTAAATCAAATCTGAGATGAAGAGGAATACCTTTAATATTAACATGAAAATCACTTTGCACTTGGGCCAGTAAAAAAAATAAAAAGAAAGACTTGATATATTCACGAACATATCTTTTTTTAGTTTATTAAAAATACTTCATTAAGAAATCTGACTTTTTGTATGTAAAAGACTTGTAATTTTTACTGAAAGTGTGTCAAATTTTGTGAATATACACATAATATATTAAAAATTAATAGTCTCAAAACTATAACAAGTACAAAGTGGTCACATGGTCGGTCAATTCGACCAAGTCCGCGTAGAGAGGGTTTTTAAGGGTACGTTTTGTTTTGATTTATAAATATATAATGGTTTATGCTATTTTTAGTTGAATTGCTGTTTCGGAAAGAATTTTGTTTTGCTTGCAGTTGATCTATGTTAAATGGTAATTCATATGGAATACAGCAGTATTTTCAACCTGAATAACACTTTATGCAAAACAGATGTTAAATGGTCAGTCAGAAACTCAAAAGTTCAAGCATATCCATCCCTAATTTAGAGTTGTTGACTACAGGGAGAGCAACCAGTTAGCAGGATCCTCAGCCTACCTGACTATTCTCGATCAAGTAGTGGAATTGGCTGTGACTTTTATAACGTGAAAAACTTGAAAGTCCAAAGTGTGTTCAGAGGATATCACTTTATCGAGTCTTGAAACCTCCTGATCCATCCCCTCACCGATCTATAGCCATATTCAAAGCTTTACAAAATATCAATGTTAATTATCCTTTGCTTCCCACACCAGAACTTACTCTATGTAGCATTCCCAATAATTCGTCTACTCTGGACCTAAGAAAAACTCCTGAGAAAATGGTAGAGTTTCGAATAATTTCCTATTTGTCAGTAGTTTAAACAGCTTTAAACCCAATCAGTCAAATTGTTTATAATTTAAACATTAATGTGATAAAATATTTATGTAAAGTCAAAAGTCCATTGCATGATTATATTATGCTTACATTAAATCTCTAAATGAATTATAACAATTTATTTTTTTGAAACAAAAATATAGCAAGTGACGATAATAATATTGTTGTAACGGTTGCTGTTGTTGGGGTCAGTGGTACATCGGTAAGTTACGGACATAAAACGCTAAAAGTAAAAATAACTATGCAAAGTCAATTGCAATTAATGATACCCTCCGCCCCAGTGGCTTACCGACATATCTGAAGGCTTTTCACGCTAAAAATAAAAATGTTAATAATATTTCACTACTGATTTTGCTCTGTTCTCTAACTTCTTTTAAGCAAAACTATAAGAAATAAATTCGACAATAAATTAAAGAGATGTCGCTCTTAGCTCTCGATTATAAGCAGCATGGATGGTCAAGGATTACGTGAGGAAATAAATCAATCAGGGATGTCATCTAATAATAGTGGTAAATCAATTAATAACGTCAACGAGGAAAAAAAAAATGTCCAAGAAAAGATTACAACTGAAGATATTAAAAATGACACATACAATGAAGATTCCTTTAAACTTTACCCTGAAAGAAGAGGGAAGAAGTATAATCCTACTTGGTTTGAAACCGCTGTTCTTGGAGAATCTAGGCGAGAAATCGATAAGGCAAAGTGTGAACGGAATGTATATTCATGCTTGGAGAAAAGTAAACAGAATTTTTTGTTGTTGTTGTTGCTGCTGCAAATACGCAGATGAAAGGAAAAATATAGTAGATTTTTTATATTTCTTTTTTTTTTCAGCTGCTATTCATGCAAACCATGGTGACTGGGGCAGTGAAGACACCCAGCCTTACACTAAGTAAGGCTTTAACAAGTTTAAAACAGTATCATTGACGTTTTTAAGTAGTCGTTAAGTGACACATATACTTTTATTTTAAACTTAAAGTATGGAAAAGCAACAGAAATTCAATGCTACAGTACCAGTGAATTCTCATTCTAATAAATTGTAGCACTACTACTACTAGTTCGTTAGTGTTACCTTGATGATCAGAGCAAGCTACCTATTTAGATAAATAAAAATCAACTCGGTAATGAGTATCTGCTGATTGTATTTTTCTTACATATAAAGCTTTATTGAGTCAACTACTACATTATTAACACAAGTATCATATATTATAATGATTTAAATAGTTATTTCATGCATTAAAACGTATTTCTCCCCTATTTATGTATTTTTTGTATGCTTGGCAAAAGATCAGGTCTCCATTTACACAAAACAAGATGGGTAGTATTTCAATATTTGATACAGCTTATATTATGATGGATGTAACCAATTCACTGTCACACATCCATAAGTGTCTTAAGCTACGTGCAGATATAAACATGGATGATAATGCTGGTTAATAATTACAAGAATTCTTACCACAAATGTTTCTTTAGATAATTTTATGACATATTTATATATGCACAGTAGTCAATAGAATATAATAAGTTGAATTTCATACATGTTATTTTACATAATGTTTGGCAAGTGACTTCCACATTTCATGTTTATTACTCCAGTTCATCTTCTTTCCAGTTTAATATATTATCTTTTATTAATTTTTGTAATAAAGAATAAGGATTCGAAGCACTTCTCTTTGATCATAACTTAAATCTAGCTTATATTACTGGTTCAATAGAGAGCATTTGTACCTACTAGACTCTTGACTCAAATTCAGATAAATTTCCAACCCTCAACCTTGACTTAAATTCAAAATGTTTAGCTTATATAAGTTCACTAGAATTGTGTTTGACAAACTAAACTGTTGTGGTTAGAATATGATACAGAAAACCTTTATTTGTTATCAGCTCATTCTTTAACAATGCAACCTAACGGTGTCTTTATTTTCTTGTTTTCAAAATATTTTGATGTACATTATGGTTAAAAACAATTTAGCACATTTGTTTGTTTTTAAAAGATGAAATTTGTTAATAACTGTATTGAGTTTTAAAAGTATATTAGGAGCAGCATTTTTTTATATGAAAGAAAATAAAGTTTGGGTAACTTGTTGTGAGGAGAGGAAATCCACTGTACACTTTAAGTAAATGTCCAAAGATACAACTTTTGATGGGTTGTTTATTTTTATTTACCTTTTTACGATGTTTCAACAACTCATGTGGCCAAATGAGTGGTCAAAATGTCGTAAAAAGTTAAATAAAAATAATCCACTCAAAGGCTGTATCTTTGGACTTTTTATTTAAAGTTTGGCTAAGTTTACTTGATTTCATTGTACTTGGAGTCTTAAATCATGAGATTACAAAATCTTTGACAGTTTTAAGTGTACTTCAAACCAAAGTCAATGTCAGGGCAGTTAAATTCCTTCACCACATTGTCATATGAAATACATTTATAGAGAAAAGTAAGTAAAAGATGAAGCTAATGGATCAGAAATTATTGACAATCTGAGTGTTGGTAAGGTACAGTATGTGCATTATAATACATTTGTTGAGATATAACATTTGAATCAGTTATTTACTGTTAAAGTTAAGATTTTAATTTTGTGTGTTTATAGTGAACCTTGAAATCATGTTTAGTAATTTTTACATGGTTTGTACTTGTATGTGTGTGTGTATGTTTTACATCATACAAAATATTACTCTAGATGATATACCTAGTACACAGTTTTTAGCTATATAAATTGACCTGATGGGAGTTTTTGCTTTATACCTGCTAAGGTGAATTTGTTAAATCAAGTAAATGATATAGAATTTTGTAACTCAAGAAAAAGCATTTAAAGAAATTATCACATCTAGTTACATCCTTGATGTAAATATATGAGTAAATTGTATCTATAAACTATGATTTCACACTTTCACAAGTGTGCTAATTTCAAAATCACGACACTTTTGAAACTACTTTTAATACTTGTCAGAAGGTCATAACTTAGTTCTGGGAGCAGAGTAATTATGAATCTGGTGACTTTACATTATTGTTGTAACATTTTTATATATTTACAGGTCCTTTGATTAAATTGATGATGAGTGCTCTGAAAGGTTCAGGATGGTAAGTAATCTAAAAGTTACCATTCAACACATGTTGTTTTTAAATGTCCTGAATTAATACTTTGTTGTTTTAAAACCAAATTATTTAAAAACCTGACAGTGTTATAGACATGGTTGTCAATATGATAGTTATCTAATTAATGGAAACTTCCTTAGAAATGTAGCACTGTATTATCAGATTTGAAGTAATTAAACTTACAAAAACGTGTTCTCTTCTATAGTCCTACATCTCAGATCTAAAAAACTTTCTTAATTTAGGATTAGCAGTTCTTTAATACTTTAGTTTCTGCAAAGAACTTTTAACTTGAAGTTTGAATCTTGGTTTTGTAACAGCTAAAGGACTTTAACCTTTGGTATTTTTTTTTCGTTTGGTGTATCAAGCTATTGAGTTTACTAAACTAAGAAGTGGAAGAAGCTTTAGGCTTAACAAAGTAGGGTCTATTGAAGATTTGAGACCCTGACTCTTAATGAGAGTTGGGGTTATAATAGGGCATTCTCCTGTACAATATACTGAAGATTTGGAGCATACAGGAAATCTATAGACTAGAATGTTTTTATCACATGTTAAAGCTGAGGATATTATAGAGAGACTAGGTATTGACTGTAACTTGGAAGATTCTGTATTTGTTGTGCATATTGGAACTAATAAAGTTAGTGATGAGGAGTAATTAACCAAGAACTACTTTCAAACTTTAAAGGCAGCATGCAAGGATTAAATGAGAGACTATAGAGAATGTTTGGATCTTAGGTTAAATTATTATATATGAGAAGACAGAATTTAGGATATGGGATATGCATAGGTGGTCTTACCTATTGGGCAAACTGGGCAATTGCTTGGGGCCCCACACATGGAAGGTCCTCCGATGCTATGCCTTTTAATCTACTTCTGAGTTTTCTTATCATTATAGGGCCCCATTTACTTAATTCTACCCGGGGCTCCAGAATGACTAAGGCCACCCCTGGGGATATGTCTGAATCTTTAGGGAAAAGGGTTAGATATGTGGACAGGTTTGAAGGGAGGTATAATTCTGGATCATTAAATAAAATGGTTATTTATGATGACAGAGTTAAAGGTAGGATATGGGAGATATGTTAGTACATAATGGACTTAACTTAAACAGGAAACCTCCAAGTGACTTTAATTACAAACTGTTTAAAATGAGGTTAGATAGTGGTGAGGATTATACCCTGTGGTGAGTTTTAGTAGAAAAGATGAAAGTAAGTTTATTTTTAGTGATGGGAACCTCTGTAATAAGTTTCTATAATTAGAAGCTTTGTTGATTAACATATTAAAATATCATACTGATTTTTTGCTTGAACGAAGGATTTTCTATATGATTCTGATCAGGTAGTTGGCATCCATTGTAAATATACAGACATATTAGTTATATAAGCAAGCTTATTATTATTAGACATAATTTACTGAAATGTGAGGAAACCTTATTATAGAAGAACGGAACATGGCTAAACAACCTTTTTTACTATTCAATTTCTGAAAGAGATTCCCACCTCATCAATCTCTCTAGGATAGAAAAAGTATTTGTAGCGTTAGGTCCCCTTATGGATATACAGAGTTTCACTACTAGGAATGTACCTCTAATGTAAGAAATGTCTATTTGTTTGTTAATGTAAGAAATGTCTGTTTGTTGGTTAATGTAAGAAATGTCTATTTGTTGGTTAATGTAAGAAATGTCTATTTGTTGGTTAATGTAAGAAATGTCTATTTGTTTGTTAATGTAAGAAATGTCTATTTGTTGGTTAATGTAAGAAATGTCTATTTGTTGGTTAATGTAAGAAATGTCTATTTGTTGGTTAATATAAGAAATGTCTATTTGTTGGTTAATATAACAAATGTCTATTTGTTGGTTAATATAACAAATGTCTATTTGTTGGTGGTTTTAGGGAAAATCCAGCTGTATATATATGGATTTTTCTAAGTAATTTTGAGGATTTTATTTTTATTGTATTTGAACTGTAGAATTTTACATTTGTGTTAACCAATAGAATTTTACACGTGTTAACAATTGCTGTGATTTTACAGTGAAGTGGACATCAGCCGTCATATATCCTGTGAAGTTTGTGACAAAAAAGTTAGTGGTGGCTATGACCCAGAATTGAACCAGGTGGTTGTTTGTCAAAATGTGGCTCGATCAGAATGGATGGTTCAGGGAGTGTTGGCTCATGAATTTGTTCATATGTTTGACTATTGCAGAGCTAAGCTGGACTTTAGAAATGTTGATCATTTGGCTTGTACAGAGGTAAGCCAGAGTAGAAATGTTGATCACTTTGTTTAAATAGAGGTAACTGGATTTTAGTAACATTAATCATTTGGCTTGTACTGAAGTAGGCTGGACTTTATAAATGTTGATTTATAATCCTGTTGTATCTTTATCTAGGTACGAGCTGCCAATCTAATGCACTGTTCCTTCTTGAGTGCAGCGGTTGAGGGTACTGCTTCACCATTTCATATTGCTAAAGCACATTCAGTAAGTTACTTCTTAACCCTTTTTTTTTAGAAGAGGAAGCTTCTTGAATTTTTTTGTAAAACTATATTTCAATTTTTATTTTCTGTTATCGTAAAAACAAAAAAATTAAATTACATTTTTAAAGTTGTCAAAGTTTTTATGAAACACCATTTTGTAGTGGTGTTTTCTAACAGAAAGGTGAAAAAGTTTTCCAAAAAACAAATTTATGTTCATTGTTTCTTCTTTTTTCAAATCTTCCTTAATTTGTACTTTTCAGATAGCACTGATTCTTCCTTAAGAGTGACGAGATAGGTCTACATTATGAGATACTGAAAAAAAAACTTTTCTTGTGAAATAATTCTGAGCTCCTTAACTACTGAACTTGAAGGGTAAATTTCTGAACACAAATCCACAATTGTAGAAAGCTTTTTTAAAGTACAAACAAAGTAAATCTGTATCTTGCATGTCACAACGAACATTTGCCTTTACTGTAGAGTTAGGCTTGAAGTCATTCCATGATGCTATAAATCAACTAACTCTGTTGAGATCGTGTTCCAAACTGAATAAATCTCACTTTACTTAACTCATTACTATGAAACTTATGCAGAGTAACTAACACAAACCACATGACTGGTCATTCCCTATGAAACATAACAGAGGTAATTACTTGAAAAGAACACTTGACTGTTTATAAAAAGATAACTATCTAACTTCACATACTACAGATGACTTTGCAGCTATCTTTACCATGGAAAGACAAAACGTACTATTCTGTGTGAATGACACAGAACAGTAGGTAACTAGAGCAACAGTAATTTAATGATCTTATTGACCAACATGTTATGAGGAAACTGTGCACACCTGCACAAATAACAAATTTAGAAATATTCCTGTATTAATACAAATTGTATGCTTATACACTACAATTGCTGTACAAATGGTACTGTGATATTTCAGACTTTATCTGGAATAGGGTGGTTTGTCCCACTGTCCTAAGAAAAATTCTTGAAATGCACAAAATGTCTTGGTTTTATGATAAACACATCAGTCAGTTTGTCACATTGAATACGAATGTAAAAGGCGTACTTGACTTGCTCATTGTTGTAACACATACTCTCCTGCTGTCAGAATCTCTCAAAACTTCTGCCTGTGCATGATGAGAAACCCGGGTATGCACTGGTTTTTAGTTAGTAGTAATGCAGTAGACCTATAACAGTTGGTGAATGTGTGGTAGACAATTAAAGGTCAGGGACTGTTCTCTAAGACAGTTTTAAAGTATGATTTTCAGCTACAGATTTCTCTTTTTTAAAGGCAAGTGAATTGGATAAAAAGTTGAGAGTACTATTTTCAATCTGTGTTTTTGATAGGACATTGTGGCAGATCAGACATTATGGATCACACTACTAGAAAAAAGCACAAGGAACATTTTGAAATTATGGACAAGGGCTATGCTGTCCCAGTTTTTCGGTTTGGAAATTTGGTCACCATAAACCAAACTAATATTTAGTTTAAAGTTGCAAATTCCTATAAGTGTGATTATAGCTTCTTCTTGTCCTTTCATTCAATTATATTAAGTCCACATATAACATTTAGCTTTATTTTTTCAGAGTCCCTATAAGTACTACTTCTAAAATTACGAAATTGTTTATCATTTTGCATCCATAAAAATGTTACTACTCAAGTTTCGTTAGTAGACCTACATCAATTTTGTATTACTTCCCACACTTGAGCTTTGTTTTTATTGTTTTCAGTTATTGAGTTCCTTCTGAGTGTAACCATCAATGTAATCACTATCCTTTAGCTAATTATTTTCCCTAAAGTGATACTAATTTTTTACTACAAATAATGTTAGTTCCAAAATAAGTTAGAATTACCACCCTTTTTTACACATGATAATAAGATCTTATTACTACATTGTGGTATTCATTTTATAGCACTATGTTATATTTATAGCCATTATAATGACTTTATAAAGATGTACAAATAAATTTATTTTAAATGAATGATTTTGGTTATGGCCCCAGCAACAATAATTTCATGATTTTAGATTAACATTTTTTATGTCATCCATATGTTTTGGACAAGTTTTTAACAGGTAATATGATTGTAATTGTTTTTCCATATACATCATTTGTTGTTTTCCTTTAATGAATAAAGAAATTAAACTTTTGCATATAAATTACCTAAAAAAACCTGTGGTTCTATTTCTTTGGTGATGTTTCAAGCAAATGTTCTTTTTCAATCCAGAAACAAGCCTGTCAGATAATAACAAACTACTTGTTTTGTCTTGCTTTATATTCTGTTCTTGTGTATTGTTTCCTTTCAAAACACCCAAAATATTTTGCTCAAAATGTTGCCAAGGCAGCAAAATACAACCATAGTTTTTAAGATGATTTATCTCCAAAAATCTAATTTTTTTATTTTATCAACTTCACAATTTTGTAATTATTCGTTCTTTTAATGAACATATTTATTTCATTTACTTTAACATAGGACTGTGTAAAGAACAAGGCAGTAGCTTCAGTGTTGGCCGTAAGAAACGTGTCCGAACAGGAAGCAAAGACAGCAGTTGAACGTGTTTTTAAACGATGTTACAACGATCTTGAACCTGTAGGTCGACGACTTAGAAGAAATTCATTGGATATGGAAAAGGCATATAGACAGCGTTTTCACTATGGATACTTTGATTGACGTATCAAATGATTAGGAACACTGTCTTTACCTTGTGACTGGTGATATTACTATATTGTGACACCTATATATATAATGTAAAAAATTAGTACTCTATAAAGTATTGGAAATATTGAACTGAAGTAGATACAGAAGCAAAGATCTTTATAATCCTTCAGTTTTGTATAGAACAAGAAACTTCACAAATATTTCTTGATTGATAACATACAGCTTTACTATGCCAGGTTTTCAGACATTACATAAAAACATGTAAGCTTGTAGAAAAGAACCAAGTCATTCTTTATTACAAGCATAACATTATAAATGACAAAAAGATCATTCATCATGTGTCAAATTCTAGAAATGAGTGTTATAGTTTATATATAAACCTGTAGAATAAATTCTATATATTATTTTAACCTTTTATGGATAACTGTGCATTTCATCTCATCTTTGAACACTTATAGAATTGCTGTTATTAAAGAATCAAAATGGCTGATCCCATTGTAAAATAGTATAATTGGATGGAAACGTATTCTTTGATTGATTGTTTAGGCAGAGTATTCATAATGAAATTTAGTTGAATAGATGGAAACTGCCTGTTATAGAAACTCAAGTGTTGCCATCCATTCAACTAAATTTCATCAGGGATGGAAATAAATTTTAAAAACTTTAGTAAGCTTGTGTGTTATAAGATCACATTCCTGTAGTACATAGCATGTTGATGACAATGTCCTACAAAGTTGCGCTTTAACACATGAGTATAGCAAGACCTTATTTGAAATGGTCTTGTGAGGAGGGTGTAATTGATGCTTGCAGGGAAATACATACATATGGAGGTATTAGTTTATACCATGTTTGAACTAGGTGATTCACGGGGGATTTGGTCTTTGAAAATGTGTAAATGACAAGGCATGGTAGACTATAAGGAAGTGCTTTACATATAGAGGGCACTATTAGTGGCCAAACTCAAATTCCTTTCTTTGGAAGGCATTTAAGGAATGTTAGACAAGAAGGAGAAACTTGTACAAAATGTTCTGTCACTTTAAGCTAATCAAACAGTTGAGCAATAAATGCTTGCCTAGCAATGTTCTGTATGGCTGCATTCTGCTTGGTATCCCCTTACTCTTCAAATTCTGCTTGGTATCCCCTTACTCTTCAAGGTTTTCCTTAATTATTTTATTATTGCCATTTATCAGATAGTAATAATTACATACTGTTCCAATGCAGCATGCCAGTAACTTGCTACGGATTAAACTCTTATACAAACAGTTCTCTGATACTAGTAGTTATATTCTGTTTTAATACAGCATGCCAGTAATCTGTTGTATATCAAGAACACTTTTCAGACATTGGCTCTATCTCTACTATAAGGTGAAGGAGCAAAACATGTGGCAATTTAGGAGAAAAGAGCATGACATCGTGATGAATTGTTATAAACACAGTTGGCAGGAATTTAAATGGTAATAGCAATCAGTAGGAAATGCTTTTAATGTGTATTACAGATACTGTGGTTGGCAGTGTTCCAGTTCGCTCATGGCATGAGAATTTGTAATAGTTTTAGTGTGCCTTACAGGTATTGTGCAATATCTTAGCATTGTCAACTGTTCAGTTAGCTTATTCACTCCTGCAAACATTTCATTAAAATAGTATTCACTGCATACTACACGTAATTCACACTGTACACTATTTAGCATTTCCAGCATCACATTCTTGTGTAATCCCAACAGTACTGTTCCTATTTGAAATTTTAAAAGTAAGCCATTGGCATGAAAAGCTGTTTCTGACATCTACTGCTTCCTTCAAACTTGACAGTACCTATTGTGTTAAAATGGATTTATAGCTGCACAATGCATTAGCTGTCTTGTTGAACGTGGTGGCCTGATTGAATAGAACTTTGTATTATATTTGTCTGATATGCTGTAAATATGTACAAGTTTTTGAACTCATCAAGGTGTCATGCCACAAGATTGCAAGAAACAACATAAGTAGCTAAAGGCTACTTTGATTTGATTTCTGCCTGACATCCACACGAAGCTCCAGCCATTTCTGAAGCACCATGGTACATCTGACTTCAGGGGTAGGATAGGAACAACTGGAATCAAAGTAGAGCATCCTATGCAATATTTGCAAACTTGCAATAATTTTTCCACATAAATCAGGTGTTTTGTACAAGCTAATAAAGGCAGTATTAGCATAAGGCTCATCATCAGTACAATATACAATAACTGGGAACTTGCTGCAGAGTTACAGAAAGAGCTTACAACTGTGATATTTCATGCTGCTTTCAGTTTTTTTTTTGTTATAGATTGTGACGCCTGGCACGGCCAGGTGGTTAAGGCACTCGACTCGCAATCTGTGGATCGCGGGTTCGAATCCCCATCACACGAAACACGCTCGCCCATGGGGGTGTTATAAGGTGATGGTCAATCCCACTATTCGTTGGTAAACAAGTAGCCCAAGAGTGTTGATGGTGGGAGGTGATGACTAGCTGCCTTTACTCTAGTCTTACACTGCTAAATTATGGACAGCTAGCACAGATAGCCCTCGTGTAGCTTTGCGCGAAATTCATAACAAACAAACTTATCCATTGTTTTTCTTGTGGTTCATCTTCATATCATAATGAAAACAACTGCTTGAAGTTTTCTTCCTTCTTGCCAAAAAAGGCAAGTTCTAGAGAAGCTAAATACCTGACTAAAGTTAATATATTTTGGAGACATTTTTGTGAAGCCTCTTGGTTACAAAGCGTCTGGCCCCTGAGCAATAGATCGATTAGCGTCGATTATTTGTATTTAGTTGCTGTGATGCTAGTTTATGAGCAAATGATTTTTCACAGCCTCCAACTTTCTCTAGTTTTTTTTTTTCTAGGGGTAGGGCTACGTTTAAGTACTAGTAACCTGTTTTATTGGGGTAAAAACCTATTTCACTAATTTCTGGCAATTTTTCACTGCTACCATCTAGTTTTTCCACTATTTATTTTTCAAGTATGGCTTCATCACAAAAATTGAAATATCCATTTTAAAAATCAAAACCGTTATTGCAAGCATCAACTTAAGCAATGCCGCGTGTCACGTTCACGGTTTGGGAATAAAAAGGGTGGAGAATTTGGTGCATCCCAGACCTAAGACTGAATTATAGAAGCACTTCCAATTGAGCTTATTTTTCATAAATACCTTTCACTAGTAACAGAATTCAAGTACAAATACTAGTGAGACAATAAATGATTGATTTGAAGTGTTTTTAAATTACAAATATAGATCATTATTTAACTGATAAAGATCAGTAATTGTAAAATAGATTGGAGGGATCTTGTTAACTCAATTACAGCAATATCAAATAATTAAACCTTTGTTTAACACAGTTTGAAGGATTATAGAAATACACATGTATTTTTTTTTTTAATATTATTAATTCAGTAATGAAAATAACTCCAAATATTGCGTCAATTGGACGCGAAAAACTGCGTTCACGGGATGCTCTTTAAAGTGCATAACATCATTTTCGGTCCAACCAGAGCCGTAGCCAGCAAGTTTCAAGAACTGTGCACCCCCCCCCCCCTCCTTCGTTCAAAAAATACTGTGAACTGATTCAACTGTTTGGCTACAAACTTCTCCATTGCTCCAATACAAACGTAAAGTAAAACTACATTCATTTATGACGGATAACATAGTTTTTCTTGAATTAGGAAGTGGAGAGGAAGTAAAATGAGGGATGGGAGAAGAACAATAGATTTGAGAAGAAATGGAAGAGTTAATTCAAGGGAGGTCAAGTTGAGGGTGAAGAGATAGAAAGAGAACTAGGGGAAGGCGGGAACTTAAATACCATACCATACTAAATACAGCAAGTTATCTTGCTTAATTCGAATGATAAGTTCAAATGGTGTGTTTTTCTATATGCCCTCCAGTCTGTATAGTTCTGTATAAATTATTGAAGAACAGGCTTAGCGCCCGGACTACGCCTCCCTTCTGGCTGTGCCGTGGGCAACTGCATAGCTATGGCTCCTAGTCCAACACACTCTTCTACGGTTTTGTGGATTGCTTCTTTCCTTGTGGATAGGCTCAGTCATAGTACAGAGACACCCATAATCAATGACATGATATTCTCCAAGCCTCCAATTAGCTGGCCCTAACTAACTGCTCTACAGAAAATCCGTGTGCCAGAAGATACCAAACTAATTAAGCCCTTATCAATACTATTAATTCAAATCGAAAAAGACAAAGGCCCAAGGAATGACCATGGAGGTACTTCAGTGACAAAGGTCCATTTTTTTTTGTGAGAAAGAAAGAAAAATTAGTTGCAATTTTCCGTCTCTAAATATTCAGACATATCAAGAAGCACAATAAACATCACGCTTTAAGCCTCATTTTTCAATTAATTAGTTTCATAATGACAAAATTTTGTAAGTCATTTGTGCTATTATTATCGGTTTCTAAAGCTCAAAATGTATTTAATGACATTTTGGTATGATTATAATCGTATATGTAGAAATTGGCTTTCCTTGAGTTATTATTGAGTGCTTGAGTTATTATTAGGTTTCCTAACTTTTCTGTTGATCCTTCTTGCTTTTGAATATCATGGTTGTAAATGTAGAATTGTTTTATTTTTTACTAGCGAAAATACCCGGCTTCGTTCGGGTTATTAGGTTTATTTATTCTGGATGACTATGTCAGTGTCTGTATTCTGAACCCATTTTAGCATAAAAGTATAACTTATATACTTTTGTTCCTCCTTTACTGGACGTGGCCTGTTTATAAAGGTAACCTTCCCTCTGACTTGTCTTCCGATTTTAAATTTAAATAATATAAACAAATAATGAAAAAACCTCTTTAAATGGCCTCTAAATTAGAAAACAACAAATATTTTGTTCAATTTTGTAGTTTATACATTTCATTTTATACTTTCAGCACATA